GTTCTCCCTAATCAGTAACAACTAACCAAGCACAAAAAAGGAAACCTGTTGAAGTGAAATGGACACTATGAGAAACAGTGACTTGATCAGCCCTTGTCCTGACTGTTGATGTACAATTTAATACTTTATCCCTTTTAGTTTTTTTTTTTGTTGTTGTTCTACTTAATACTAGTGGTTGAACTCTGTAATTAACACACAATTATTCTTAGGTGTTTGAATTTAACTGAAAAGTGACCCCTGTTAAATATAAGAGTAGGAATAAGAGAGGGAAGAGATGTACAATTTGGGACATGCTCAATAGGACTTGCCCCAAATGGTGGAGTTAGAAACGTGCCAGGGGATTCTAATACAATCCCATCAAGGTTGCATGTACCAATGCCATCTCACTATCCAAGTGATCAATTTCGGTTCACAATTGATCACACTGATAGGTCTAAGAGTCAAAGGGATCACATAAACAAGACTAGTGTCTGCTAATACTAACTGATAGAATCAAAAAGGGAGAGAACGATCCAACATGGGAAGCGGGATACACAGCAGACTCATAGAATGGCAGATGTCCTAAACAGCACTCTGGCCTCAGAATCAGCCTTTAAGGCATTCGGATCTGGCTGAAGAGCCCATGAGAGTATTTCAGGCATGGAAAGCCAAGACACTCTGGCAAAAAAAAGAGGACCTAAATGAAAGATCTCTGCGAGTGAGATCCCAGCAGAAAGATCGGGCCATCTACGAAGGAGGTACCTTTCTCTGAAGGGAGGAGAGAACTTCCACTTTGACTATGACCTTGTCTAAATAAGATCAGAGTTGGCGAACTCAAAAGGCTTCCATAGCCTTGGCAACTCATGACTAGAGCCTAGGGTGATTACTGATGCCATAAACAAGAGTGTCAAATTGTTAAGTCAACAACAGGAGTCACTGTGTACTTACTCCTCATGTAGGATCTCTGTCCTTAATGTGTTGTTCAGTGTGAATTAATGCTATAACTAGTACTCAAACAGTATTTTACACTTTATGTTCTATGTGGGTGCAAACTGATGAAATCTTTACTTAATATAAACTAAATTGATCTTCTGTATATAAAGATGATTGAAAATGAATCTTGACGTGAATGGAATGGGAGAAGGAGCGGGAGATGGGAGGGTTGTGGGTGGGAGGGAAGTTATGGCGAAAAACCATAGTAATCCATAAACTGTACTTTGGAAATTTACATTCACTAAATAAAAGTTCAAATACAAAAAAAAATGCACTTCACATTTATGTCCCTAAACTTGCAGAATTTGTTTGGTATTTAAATAAATATTGAAATCCAAAAATAAAATGGTAAGTTGGAAGAAAGGATGCCATTTTTGATATTTTTGATTTATCAGGTTCCCTGGGAGAATAGGAAGGCAGTCAAAGATGTATAATGGAGGACTGAACACCATCTATTCATCTAATGTGTGGACAGAATTGTACGGAACACTGAGTGGTGGTAAACATCTAGATGCCCTAGTGGAAGCCTCCTTCTACTACCTCTATGACTACCTATACTTTTTGTCATATAATGAAGACACTGATTTCCCACATGTATTTCTAGCAACTTTCACATAGGAGTAACAGATATTTAAACTATTTTACAATTAGAAAGGCATGGGTACCAATTGATCATGATGAATAACAATGAAAGTTGTTTATTTTGAAAGAACACAGTATTTAGAATAATGAAAACTGATAAATTTTAAGTGGCAATCATGGAGTAAGTGGACTGATTGCAAAATTCCTGAAAATAGTCAGGACCAAAGTACAATAAATGTCTACTCCTGTGACTTCCCCAAACTATTCTTCCCTAAAGGATCCTCATCTTAGCTCTCTTTGTGACATTTACAGTTGGCATCTAGTAGTGAGAGCTCTCACTGAACTAATTTGATGGTCTTGTTCAATCCTTCTCCATGTTGTTACTTCAATTCTTCCTGCAAATGTTGAAACTGAATGTTATCTGAATGTCTTTTCTATTTGACAGGTGGACCAGAAATAACCTGTATATCATCCTGGAGTTATTTAAATTTCTATACAGTTACGACTTTTAGTATTGCCTTTTCTATGATTTGAATCACTAAAATATTTTTTTCTCCAGGTTAAAGAAGGTATAGAAGTTCAATTCTATTCTTCTAAATAACAAAGACTTTTGATATGCACTCTACATTAATTTTCCAGTAGCACAGGGAGCGTGATTCCTATTTGTTTCAGGGTTACATAATCCTGACTTTTACCTTCCTTGGCATACTCAGAATAAAACCTCATTAAGTTTAGAGGCATCCTTTAATGATCTCACTCAGTAATTTTCCAAGACTTCTAGTGAAGCATTGCCATTCCATAACCTCCTGTATATTCAGTGACTTTAAATTCCTCTGCAGGACCCCTTCACCTGCTGGTTTAAGGACACCTGCAGGGTCACTCCTCATTACAGACTTTCTAAGGACCATTTGCAGAGTTTTGAGTGAGATTTCAATGGGATGATTATGAACACGGCATCAGGTCTCAGAAGCGGAACTGCATAACTTCTCATTTTGTCTTCATGAAAATTTTATGAAATTGACTGGATTTTGCAAAACAACAACTCTGGGAATACGGAAAAAAGCAAGAAAGTGCTGATTATGTTTTTGCTCAGGTTTCATACAGGTGATGCCATTTAACTGCACAAATTCAAAACTCTCAGAATGTAGAGTACAAATCTTAAGGACAGGTTGTGTGTCTGTACAGAAATTCTGGGAAACTTTTGCTAATTAAAAGTTCATTGATAAATCCAAATACCTTTCTACTTTAACAACCATGTCTAATATTTCTGTCATCCAAATACTAAAGAAAATTAAAGAAGTCAAGAACATACTTCACTTCTTAAGAAAACAGACATCCCTGATATTTTTAGTTTGGAAGGGTTTAAGAACCTATTTGACATTTTAGCATGTATTTTTCGTATCTTATTCATTTGTTGTTGTCTCTTCTTTGGAGATCTAGCTATTTAAGTTTATATCTTCTTCTTCTTCTTCTTTTTTTTTTTTTTTGACAGGCAGAGTTAGACAGAGTGAGAGTGAGAGTGAGAGAGAGAGAGAGAGAGAGAAAGGTCTTCCTTTTTTTCTGTTGGTTCACCCCTCAAGTGGCCGCTACGGTTGGCGCATTGCGGCTGGCGCGCTGCGCAGACCCAAAGCCAGGAGCCAGGTGCTTCCTCCTGGTCTCCCATGCAGGTGCAGGGCCCAAGCACTTGGGCCATCCTCCACTGCCTTCCCGGGCCACAGCAGAGAGCTGGACTGGAAGAGGAGCAACTGGGTCAGAATCCGGCACCCCAACCGGGACTAGAACCCAGGGTGCCGGTTTCTCAGGCGGAGGATTAGCCTAGTGAGCCGTGGCGCCGGCCTATATCTTCTTATTAGAGTTAGATTTTAAACTGATAAAACTATGATCCCTTCCCAGATTTGAGATGTTTTTTGGTGAGCTCTTGGAACTGAAAGATACCAAGACAAAATCAGATGCTTCCAACATGATCTTTCCCCTTATTTTCTTAAGGGTTTAACTGAAATCTTACTGCTTTGGGACCAACTGGAGCTAAGAAATGTCTTACTTTGTCTATGTGCTGCAATTTTAAACACTCACTTTTAGTAGCTTAATATAAATGATACTTGGAAAAAACATTCTTCCTTGACTCTCACATCTTATCACTTAAGTGACTAGAAAAATAAGGAGCTAAGAAATGCTCCCTTCAAACTGACTGAAGTCTGGATTATGTTTATCAGGTGCTTGTTTATAAATAAATCTTCAAAAAAAAAACCAGAATATGCCCTTGTAAAAATTAAAAGAAGGACTAAGAAAGGAAGGAGGAGGGAGGGTGGGCACAGGGCAGTAGGGAGGGTAGGGTGGGTAGTATCACCAAGCTCCTAAATCTGTGTATCTGAAATACATGAAATTTGTTCACCTTATATAAATAAAAACTTATTACACAAACAACAAAAAATGGGTTAGTGTAATACCTCAGACCTCTCATTTAAAGACATGACACCAAATTAACACAACAATGTTATTGCCTCACGTAAGTTATAAGGTCTTTCCTAAAAATTAGAATCAACATCCTGAATTCTCCATTTTTGTAGAATCAGTGTCAGTATTAGCTTAATCATTTTGTTGTAGATAATCAATCAAGTACATAGACTCATTCTAAATCCTCACTGGAATTTTATTCTTCTAAATGTCTTTTTAAAAATTTTATTAACCTAAAAAACCAGATTTAATGCATTTCATAGATACAATTCTAAGATAACCACATTTCCCTCTCTCCCTCGCTCAATCCAGTCTCCTTCATTTCTTTTTTGTTCCTTCAATTTTTGCATAACATAATTTCAATTGACTTTATAACCACGGGCTCATTGGCGAGTCTTGGAAGATGACTGTGGTTAACAATGATAGGCTTGCAAGGGCACAGAATTGACCCTAGACAACGTGCCGCCATCTTCCAGAAGCTCTCCTTCCTCTGCACGGTGTGAATTAACAGAGAGACTGAGGACTCAGCTTCTTTCCTAGGTAACCCCTTCTTGGCCTTCCCAGCCCCATTTCTTTTCTGGCCAAATCTCCTTGTGACGGAGCTCACTGCTGGGCAGAGTGCATCTGAACTGGTGTCTGTGGTCTTCCTCTATTTGAGTGGGGATAAGAGAAGGTGGAAGATCCCCATGAGGAACCTTAGCCACAGTAAGTGGTACCTTTACACTCTTACCACAGTATACTCTCGGGCTCACAAGGATGATGTATGATTTTGGGGAGGAATACTGCCTTTGAAAGTGATAGCGAGTATGCCCTGTTAACCTCAAAGATGGGGTTAAAAAACCATGTTATTCATTTCATTTTCTGGCTACTTCATGGCTCCTACAGTTGCCTGTTTCTTGTGACTAGCAGGTAATCCTCAACCTCACTCTTGCAGAATTTACCAGTTACTTCAATAATTTAGAATAAAGAGCAGAGGCAGTCCACATACTCACCTGAAACACATAAAAATCCCCAGGGAAATCACCAAGGTGAAAATCGACAGAGAATGACCCACAATAGCCAGATAGTATAGCACGTACGCATTCTGGAACACAGAAAAAAATGTAGAAACCACAGATGAGTAAATAATTATACAAAGGGGAAATAGCTTCTGTTTCTAAATACAAGTATAAATCAATACATTGTTTCCTCCTTTAAAAAAGGATACTAAAATTACAACAAATATTTCAGAGAATGAAATTATTTTTATCTTTACTCATTATTTAATAGAAACAATTGATTTTAAAGAATAAAGTGCCTTGAGATGAATTAAACTCATTTAAAAATATATTTCAGAACTAGCTTTATTATTATTATTTTCAAGTTTCTTAACAGACACATAAAAATTATACGTAAGTTTTCAAAGCGTTAAAAATTATCTTTCTTATGCCCAGCAAATGATGCAGGCTAGGTTTAATTTCGGGAGTCTTATCATAGACATTGGCCATGTCTACTTCACAGACCTGGCAGAATAGTAATCTAATATCCGTATTCTCCTGTCTCTCAGCACTAGGTATAAACAGAGGGAGCAGAAAGTATGGTGGCAGGTGATTTTGCTTAACCTAGGATTAAAATACAAACAATTTTATATGTCAATTAAAAAAGGAAATTTGAAAAATAAAAAAATAGTATCATTAAAATTTAGCTGGTTGAAGAACCAAAACTTTTCTCCTTGACAGCCATTTGTTAATTCTTTTTTTCCCATAGTCATGCTTAATGTTAGTTCTTCGCTTATAGTTGTATGTTAGTTGACTCCAAAAGAATGTCTTCCTTCATTAATGGCATACCATAGCATCTTTAGCCTAGTCATCATACAGAAAGAAGAGATTTCATTTTCACCATACAAAAAGAAGAGATTGATCCAGTCATCCATCTCTCTCGGTCTCTGCCTCTGTCTCTCGCATACATACACACACAATTTTGACACCAGCTTTTGCAATTAGTATTATTTCATTTCATCAGTTCTAACTGAAGTAGAGAGGAATCTGTTGGAACTGGGGGTTTTTGTTTTCACTTGCTCTTTTTCTTAATGAAGCATAATTTGTGTATAATGTTGTAGATGTGTTTTTACTGCTTGACTTCTTATTTGAAGTTTCTTCCACAGTTTACTTGGGTCTTGGTATGAACACAAATGTAGTGTAGATAAGTTGAATATGTTCTTTGGTGTTTTAGGATAAATATGGAATATTCACATAACCTGGAACACTCCCATTCTTGTTAATCGCCTTGTGAAAGGTCTGAGATTGAAACACCAGTTCTACTAAAACACTCTCAAAGCTCACAGAACTCGTTGGTTACGTGCATTTTTGCTGTCCTGAGACAAATATTCCCTTCTTAGTCCTCAGAATTTCCAAGTGGACTAATCAGCTTCTCCTGAATTGTGCCCATTATACCATCTGACGGGTATTTACATATTGTGGCCCATTTTCTTTGTTGATATCAATTTCCTAACAGTATTTAAACCCTCACAAGTAATGATAACAAAGTTGGAACAGTTGATTTATAACTGCAGCTGAAACAAAAAACCACATTCAGATAGTTTCCTTGGGTAGGTAGAATTTAAGAATCTTTTCAGCTTCTGTCTTTTCTCCTAGGAATTTGTTTTCTGGCTATTTTCCAAGAAAATTCACATAACTTAATTCCCAGCTATTTTTGAAATCTGACTTCTATAAATAGACTCATTGTTTTAGTTGCCTTCAGAATTGCCCTCACTTAAAAATATAAAGTTTCCCTCACTTAAAAAAGCAAACAAACAAACGTATTCCTCTGAATTAGGGTCGTCTAACTGGGTAAGACTAAATCAGCAACTCATAATTCAGGTGCCATCTTTCTGTCCCTCTCAGGACTGAATAAAATTTTTAAAAATTATATTCTAGGCTGGCGCTGTGGCTCAGTAGGCTAATCCTCCACTTTGTGGCACCGGCACACCAGGTTCTAGTCCTGGTCGGGGCGCTGGATTCTGTCCTGGTTGCCCCTCTTCCAGGCCAGCTCTCTGCTGTGGCCAGGGAGTGCAGTGGAGGATGGCCCAAGTGCTTGGGCCCTGCATCCCATGGGAGACCAGGATAAGCACCTGGCTCCTGCCTTCGGATCAGCACGGTGCGCCTGCCGCAGCATGCCGGCCGCGGTGGCCATTGGAGGGTGAACCAACGGCAAAGGAAGACCTTTCTCTCTGTCTCTCTCTCTCACTGTCCACTCTGCCAGTCAAACAAACAAACAAATAAAAAAATTATATTCTAGATTGGTTTCCTCAGTTTTTGTGACAATATTTGTATGGAAGATTTGTGTAAATAATTTTAATCATTATAGAAGGGAACATATCTTAGAATTCTTCATTTCCTTCTGAGATGTGACCAGTGTGGGATGGTCAAACATGGCAACACTTGAGAACTGTTTATTTGAATTTGCACTATTTCTAACAATTCAGTTAACATGGTTTTATATACATATATATATATGTATAGTGTTAACTAAATATATACACATATCTATTAACTAAATATATATATATTTGGTGAAGTCACATCCAGCACTCATTTAGGAAATTCCTAACTGTAAGCTGTCATTTCAATCAGACTTTAGCAAGTCAACAGCTCTCTTTTAGGGTGAAGACATGAATCTGATTTTCAGGGTGGACTCGGCAGTTTGTGAAGAGGTCATTGGCTTTAGTGCTCTCTATCTATGCTTGTGACAAGGGGTCCTTCCAATCAACTGGTTGCTAATCTAATCAACTTGCTTATCTTTTGCTGTTGTTTGTTTTGTTTTTAATAAAAGGAAAGTTTCCTAGACTCCCATGCTTCTTAAGAGAAAACAGAAGCATGATGTGCTTTTAGCTTCCAGCCCAGAAATTACTGAGTTCACTGCCCCACCTTGAAGGGAACACTACTGTAGGTTCCTGCTGCAGCCAGCAGGATTCTCAGAGATGCCTGGATAAGGAAACTTGACTAACTGTTTCTCCCAGGTCCGCGGACTAGGAAGGCTAATTGCAGGCTTAGTGATCTTTTTACATTTCCAATGGATCTGATCGAAGATCTGGGCTTCCCCCCCAATTTGCTTAAATAAATATTTCTACCAGAGATGATGTCAAAATATTTAACTGCCACCAAGACATAAGTGCTAACAAATCAGAATGGGCTCCTTCTGGAAATAATGTAAACAGCCACCCTGTATCCATGGGCTGACAAGAAGTCCCATTTTAGGGGTTCCTTTGAAGTCTGATAGTAAAACTAACACCATCTCCAACATGAAGAGACAACCATTAGCTTGTGCCTTGTGGAAAAATCTGTAGTTTTATAAGTCTTCCGGAAGGCGAGAGATGTTAGGGAGCCCTTGAAAATGCTACCTAATTTCTGGTGTCAGTGAGAATCCCATCAACTGCTCTTTGGACACAATTCCTTTGCCATAAATCACCTGATTCCATCTGCACACGGAACGTCCATTGACACTGAGTGACAAGCAAGAAGTGAAACATTATTTGCTCTAATGCCATTGCATGGAGAACCTAGAACTTAACAGGTCATCATCTGATTTTCTTTGGTAAAGATATCCTGGCTTCTGGGTAGCAGATACTGCACAGTTATGCATCCATTTCCATGCACACCTAATGGCATTCTCACCCCACGCTGAGATGTGAAACCCAGCCTACCTGTAGTTTCTCAGGAGTGAACGCATTACACATAGTATAGTTGGACCAGGTTTGGTTGTTCCCAGGGTGTTTAAACCAAACTCCTGTTTCATCACAATATTTTGTAACCTTTTCTGTTAAGGAAACATAATAGTTCCATTAGTATACCAAAAATTTTCCAAGAAGGAAAATAATCAGTTGAATCCTAAAAGCCATTTCAAAGGTGTATTCACTTGAATGTGAATATAAGCTCATAGAGACTACATGAGTCATATATCGTCCCAGATGAATTAATATGCTCGTTTCATGCCATCTGCAGCAGGCTCATTGTGAAGCAGGCATCGCCAACTCCACTTTACAAATAGTGGCAGAGGTTCTACAGTTTAAAAAAAAATCACTAGGACTGAGCCAGAATTTAAATCCAAGGCTATCAGACTCCAAAGTTATATAGTTATACCTGAATTCATATTTTTAACAGACTCACTTCTGATTACAATAGGGACTACATGAGAAGATCAAAACCATGGCTTACTTCATTTATATGCAATGTTTTTATTAGGTCAGTGGCATGAAATTAGTTTTTGTGGATCAAATGGTCAAAGACTGGCAATTCCTATGGTTAAAGCCAATAGAATAAAGAAATTCAAAACTAAAAGATGTATCAGGAAGTCATATTTTTCTTGCCTCTCATAAAGATTTCACTTAAATCATCTCTCTTCATATCACAGAAAAGATACTGGGATTGATGATAACCAATCTAATCTTACCTGCAATTTTAAAAAGGTGTTTGTTACGGCAACACTTTGCTATCTTGTAAGAAAGCAGTATTTTCAGAATTTATTTATTTTGAAAGGCAGACAGAAACAGAAGACAAAGAGAAACCTCCATTTGTTGGTTCACTCCCCAAATGCCTGCAATAGCTAGGTCTGGGGAGGCTAGGGCTCAATCTAGGTCTCCCAAGTGGGTGGCAGGGACCTAACTCCCTGGGCCATCATCTGCTACCTCCCAGGGTGCACACCAGCAGGAAGCTGGAATCCAGGGAACAGCCAGGACTGGAAGCCAGGCACTCAGATACGTGATGTGGTTGTCCCAAGCAGCATCTGACCTGCTGCATCAGATGCCTGTCCCAGAATGTATTATTTTAAAATCAAAATGAAAATACATTGGTTTAACAAAGTTGTGCACCCATGTATAGGGGGAAAAAAAACACTGTGTGAAGAAGCCTGTTCCACTCATGGATTAAACTGGAAGAAACATTATTGCTTTAATGGAAGTCTGGACTGAGCCATTTCCTGATTTTAACTGTTGCACTTATGGAGAATTTGTCCTCCTGCACCTGACAACTCTTTCACTATTTGAAGAATATTAACTGAATATTTGACTCTAAGCAAATTACTCCTCTGAAACTTTGGTTTTTACATTCTTGCATCTTCCTTCATCCTGTCAGCTCTTTTGAATTTCAGTATTATTCACTCTATTATCAATCACTTTTTTTTTTCCAAAATGAAATCCCTGACATTTTTGCTAACGTGTTTTGTGCATCATTAAGATGTAGGTCAATATGCATTGGTGTTGTGGAGCAGTGGGTTAAGCCCCTGCTTGCAACCCCTACATCCTACATTGGAGCACCGGTTTGAGTCCCCTCTTCTCCACTTCTGATGCGGCTTCCTGCTAATGCACGTGGAAAGGCAGTGGAAAATGGGCCAAGTACCGGGGCCTCTGCTACCCACGCGGGAGTCTTGGATAGAGTTCCTGGCTCCTGGTTTCAGCCTGACCCAGACCTGACCATAATGGCCATTTAGGGAGTGAACCAGCAGATGAAAAATCAATCTCTTTCTCTCGCTCCTCCTCCCTCTGCCTTTCAGATAAATAAATCTTAAAAAAAAAGAATTCAAGTCAATAATAAAAGTCCTATTTTTTATTTGAGTGTGTTGGATCAGATACAGCTTTGTGAATAGACATACTGAATGCACATTATTATTTCCTTTGACGTGGATCATCCCCCAGCTGCGAGCTATCTAAACCAGGCTGGAAGATGGATCTGTGCCCAGAAATCCCTGTTCTGCTGATCAAAACCTTGCCCTTCGGTCAACAGTTACAGCTGCTTTGGAGAGAGATGGTTGCCACTTTGGAACTGGCCAAGTAGCCTCAACTGCAGCACAGCTCTTTGAGCCGATGATGTTACCTCTAATGTAGTTGTCAAATCAAGATTAATGGATCATCCATTATTGGGAAGGGAGAGGGAGAGCCTGAAGCACCATCATCAAATGGTATTAGTGAGTTCACAGGAATGCAGCGCAGAGCCAGGCACTGAGCTGAGGCCCCTTTCCGCACGTCCCAACTTTGCCATCCAAAGGGGGCATTCCCAGAAGTTTCTGGCCTGCTCTGCTTTGGAAAGAGGCCCTCTGCCGTCCCACTTCCTTTACCTGTGCCTCAGTGAGGTGGTGGTGGTCACCGAGAGTCCAAAGAGCATTTTCCAAACATCATCTCACGTAGATTCCTCTCTGCTCTACTGGGATCCTAGAGCCACTTAAGCACTCTCTGCTGGCTCAGGATTACTTCCCCCTTGAGTACAAATCTCTCCCCCATCAAGGACTCCATGTTGTGTTTGTTGTTGATTCCACTTGTTTTAGCATTTGAGTCTCCTTTGTAACTAAGATTTAGACCCCTTTTCAGTACCTTACCCCAGATGTATTGTAATCAGGCAGATTTCCTATCTGGTTTCTTAAAATAAAACTTTTCTGGCCCTGAAACCTGGTTCCTGGATCTGGGCTACTAACACCCTCCGCCCCCACCCCACCCTGAAGTACGCTTCCTTGTTCCCAGTATCAGTCACATCTGAGACTGGGCTCTGGCTCCCACGGGCACAGCTACTTAATGCACGTGGTTGAGCCTCCCTGGTCCTGGCCACCTTCTCATTGGGATTTATTTCATTGTTGACTACACAGTTTCATCTTGGCTGCACATTTATTCACATGTAAAACTTTCAAAAGTCCTGATCTCCAAACAAATTAGATCAGAATCTCTGGGGAACTACTCAGCATCAGGTATCTCAATATCTCAACCTCTCTATCTCTCAATCTCTCTATCTCTCCATCTGTCTCTCAATCTCTCTCTCTCTTTCTTTTTCTCTCTCTCTCTCTCCATTTTAGTTTCCCAGCCAAGCTGAGAGTCACTCGCTGTGTACATCTGCCTGCTCTCTGGATTGGGGATGTCACACAACCTGCGTGTTGTTGTTGAGCACACACCACGGGGAGGCCTCCAACTTCAGACCTCCCACGGGTCTGCAACCCTGAGGAGCCTGAGATGCACAACCTTACCCCCCTCACTGTTCACTCCACTCAGAATCTCATACTCTACTACACCTTCGCCTTGCTGGAGAACCCCAACCCAGCTCCTAACAACGCCAGTATGGCCACCTGGACGCCTCAAGGAATAAGGAGTCCTCTCTTCAGTGTTCTAGAAGTATTTCAACTTGTACAAGTTTGTACGCAGATGGAGAAATACTATTCTACAAATGACTTCCTAGTCTGCTGTGCTTGATTATATAGAGAGGGTCAGGTATTGGCTGAAAAGTCTTGACTAAGTTCACTTGCAGCTCTGTGTCCAACTTAGTGAGTTTAACATGAGAAAACATGTGTGAAAACATTTTGAAAAAGTGATATTGAAAGAAAAGCATTCCTTTATAACTTCCACAACTCAAGTCGATTTGGGACCATTCACCTACATAACAGACATCTGTCCCAGTCAACCCAGGCACAGAACTGGGTGTTGGTATGACCAATGACTGCAGTATTTGTCTTTCTTACCAAATGAGTTTTAAAATCTGCTACTGGAACAGAAATGGTGTATCAAGAGTTACACGTTCTGATTTATTTTCCATTAAACATGACAGTTGACTTTAATTTTCAAGGTTATTTAAAGTTTTCATTGTACATGTTATGCCAGCACAGTATAAACAAATTCAAGGTCAATTATTTGCATACATCACCAATTATGACAAATATGAGACAATTAAAAATGTTTTAAAAGTCCCACATTTAAATAAGGCTATTCACAAGGTTTTTAAAAAACAAATTTTATAAACCAAAATTTGATAACAATATGCACAGCTGAGCAGCAATATAATTCTAAAACTAAGGACAATGGGCCATGTCTATACGACTGAATAATAACTCAATTACAGAACACCTTCAGAATGTGCTAAAATGTGGAGTATGATTAGGTAGGTACATTTTATATTTGATTTTCTTTTCAGAACCATCAAAACTGCAAGCTTCATAGGAAAAACAAAGTGGAAATCAATACTGTACCTGTTGGATCGAAGTCTGGAAAATAATCTGGGCAGTACTGGAAGCTCAGGACTCCAGCTGGAGTGTCGTCCCAGCACATCCATCCATCCCAGGTCCGGTTGCAGTAGGGACCTGGCCGTGGAGAAGCAAATGAATTTTGAAGGCATGTGAATTTCACTGCAGGAGAAGACGATCCCAGACATCTTACAGGTAGGTGAACCCTCTATTTCTGTCATTGCCCACATTTCAAACCAAGTCATTTATTTTGGAAACAAAGTTTCAAATAGTCTGTCGCTCCCCCTCTTCGTGGAGGAACGACACAGGACCCTGCGCTGTTCTTTCGTCTGCTCGGCCCTCCCCGGGTTTGCTGCTGGTTCTTCCCGGGTTGGCTACTATCCCTTCCACCTCCGTGGAAGGGCAGTTCCCCCTGGCCACATTCCCCACTTCCGCAGGGGAGCGGCACACCGCCAGCCGGCTCTACTCGGGGGCTGCACAGGTGTTCCTTCAGCTAGATGTTCCCCATAGATGTTCCTGGTGCATGCCGTCTCTCTCCTCCTTTATAGTCCTCCTCCGCCAATCCCAACTTGGCTGCCCACACGCCGAGTACGCTGCTCTCCAATCAGGAGCAAGTCCTACAGTTAATTGGTTGAACTGGAGGCAGCTGTGCGGAAGCTGTTTACTTCTCTCCCAGCGCCATATTGTGGGAGAGCAGATGCATAGAATAAGTCTTAATTCCAGTAACTCAGTCTAGTCTGGGTTGCTCCCCACAGATCCCCTCTTTTCTTTTTTATTTTTGGCGTTGATACGTGCCTGTCTTCGGTGTCCCGCGCACACACTCTGCTCTACTTGCTAGAGTTGCCACAGGTTCTTACAAGTCCTATCAGGCAAACCGAATCCGGGTCCTCTCTTCGCCATGTTATGAGGAGGTTTTTAGGCGCTGATGCGTGCCTGTGTTCGGTGCCCCGCAGCGCATCCTCTGCTCTGCCTGCAGGGGCTTACAAGCCCTAACAATCAGGCAAACCGAATCCAAGTCTTCTCATTGCCGTATTGTGGGGGAGGCCTTACTGATGTTAATTCGTGCCTGTCTTCGGTGACCTGCGGCACATAAGCTGCTAGCTGCCCGCAGGTGCTCATCGCCTCACTTAATCAGGCAGACCGAATCCAAGCTCTCTCATTGCCATGTTGAGGGGAGGCCTTTCTATTTCTCTATTTCTCTATCTCCGGGCATTCCTATTTCTCCCATTCCACTTCTATCTTCCAGCATTCCTATTTCTCTCACTTTACTTCTAAAACTTCTGTTTCTCTTATCCCCGCAGCTTCCCGGCTGTGCCTCGCCCTGCCGGCAGGCTCCGCCCCGAGGCTATTTCTCCGCGGCTTTCCGGCTGAGCCGCTTCAGCCCGCTTCGCGCGCACACTCCGCAGTCTCGCACTTAACCCTTTCGCGTCTGAACCACGGCCTCGCGCCAGCCCCGTTCCCTATCTATTCACGCCCCGTGCTCTCTCTGCACGCGGCGGCTTCCGCGAGTCACACAGCGTAGCTTACATGTCCGCCACTAGCATTCAATCTAAGTTCCCCGGGCTAGCCTGGCGAATTCAACCCAGCTTACGTCTCCGCCCCACGGTTTGGCTTCCCGTCCTTTGCTCCCCGGGCTAATCAGACGGATCCAAATCTGGCTTACGTTTCAGCTTCTGGTTTCAACTTTTCGCCCCCTATTCCCGGGCTAACTTGAGAATCCCAAAGTGGCTTTCGTGTCCGCCTTGGCCTGCCCCCCACGGCTTCAATTTCCCTAACATTTTTCTCTACCCGGTATGTTTCCCCAAACTTTCCTCCAACGATATTCCTCCCTCATTTCTCCTGGCCTCTCCCCACAGTCCGTATCCGAGTCTGTTTGTTCTAGCTTTCACTTTCGCTTTCGACCTTAGAGATTTCTCCCAGCTTCCCCCCGTAGTCCGTATCTGAGTCTATGCCTAGGCTTTCAATAGCTTCTTCCGGCACCTTTTTCGTCCGGCTTTTCCCTAGGCTGTTTGCTAGTCTCTCTCTCTGGTATTTTCCCAGTTCTTCCCATTTCTTCCCTCCTAAGTTTGCTATCCGTCCTAGGTTTCCTATCCGAGTCACGGCACCATTATGTCGCTCCCCCTCTTCGTGGAGGAACGACACAGGACCCTGCGCTGTTCTTTCGTCTGCTCGGCCCTCCCCGGGTTTGCTGCTGGTTCTTCCCGGGTTGGCTACTATCCCTTCCACCTCCGTGGAAGGGCAGTTCCCCCTGGCCACATTCCCCACTTCCGCAGGGGAGCGGCACACCGCCAGCCGGCTCTACTCGGGGGCTGCACAGGTGTTCCCCTTAGATGTTCCCCTTAGATGTTCCTGGTGCATGCCGTCTCTCTCCTCCTTTATAGTCCTCCTCCGCCAATCCCAACTTGGCTGCCCACACACCGAGTACGCTGCTCTCCAATCAGGAGCAAGTCCTACAGTTAATTGGTTGAACTGGAGGCAGCTGTGCGGAAGCTGTTTACTTCTCTCCCAGCGCCATATTGTGGCAGATGCATAGAATAAGTCTTAATTCCAGTAACTCAGTCTAGTCCGGGTTGCTCCCCACATAGTCTTAGCATATTTCCCATGAAATGACCTCACTGGATAACAAGCAGTTTTCAGGACCTACTTTGTAAGAAGTTTCAAAACTGTGCTTCTCAAAGAGCAAGCAACCCTAAAGATTATGTTTCACTCTGCTATTTCTTAAATTGTAAGTGAGGTAGATCTGGGGTATAGGTTGGATGTTAATCAACTGGGTTTTGAGATTTGTGCTAAGTTGTAATTTCCCAACACTTTATCCTTTAAACTAAATTGGATTTGGTTTAACAGGTCTTGCAGTTGCTGTAAGAGGTGCTGTTTTTACATCATTATGGACAAAAGGATCTGAAGAATGATCCTCTAAGACAGTATTGACAAAACTGATGAGATCAATTAATTATTCAGAACCTTGAAACAAATTTCAAGGGTGGGGATATTGTTAAAAGATTTTGCAACATTTATCAGCATGTTGCATTTGATCACTTATTAATATTAATGAGAAAACTAATTCTATATGTTATTTATTTTATTCAGAAACAATGAAATCTAGGAATTGACAAAAGGTCCCTGAATTTTCTCCAGGGAATTTGTCCTTGGCAGTCTGGTTCTTACAACCAAATATTTTATTTGGAGTCCAGGTTTAAACTAAACAAGAGACTTTAAAAGTTGTCAAAAATTGTGGCATCCTCAACAGGATTTCACAGCGCATAGACAACTGAGCATATGTTCTTCTGGGACTTTCCACTTGGGCATGAAGACAGTGAAAAACAGCAGCAAAATGAAGGCGTCCACTTCACCTGCACTAATGGAATTTATACCTTTGTAGGAGTTTCTCTATTTGCTCTTCAAAAGTTGCACATGCTCTATGTATTCACTCTTTCCTCCAAAAACATTCCTTTAAAATACAAGTATAGCTCAGTGTTGAAATCTTTACTTAATATACGCTAAATTGATCTTCTGTATATAAGATAATTGAAAATTAATCTTGATGTGAATGGAAGGGGAGAGAGAGTGGGAGAGGGGAGTGTTGTGGGTGGGAGGAAGTTAGGGGGGGGATGCTATTGTAATCCATAAGCTGTACTTTGGAAATTTATGTTCATTAAATAAAATAAAAAATATATATAAAAAATACAAGTATAGTTCAGAACATTTGTGGAAAATGGAATGAAAAGATAAATATATTTTGGTACAAAAATTTTAAGATACATGCAGAGTATTTTCATAATGAACATTTTGAAAACCCCTCATGTAACCAGAAATGGTACAAGGGAACTGTTGTGAAAGCATATGTGATTTCATCCCTGGATAGAGGCTTGTCTTGAAAAGCTGAAATGGCTTTGGAACACTCGGGACCACTACTGCCTTCAGAGGAATTGCTTGCACAGTTCTATTTTAATCTAAGGGTTAGGTCATTGCTCCACATTCTGAATGGACAAGCATTTGCAGGTATTTAATGAATCATATATTTTAGAATTATACTTCGTTACTGAATGAAAGAATACCCAGTTTGATCATGTATGTATTAAACAACACTGCTTCCAAGTGCTTTCCTGCTGGTTTCAAAACTAAATCTAACCTAAAACATCAAGATTTGCCTCAATAAAAGAATACAGAAGAATGAGCAAGAGTGTTGGAAGGCAGTCCAGGCAACACAAAAGTTCACTGCAATAAGCCAGTCTCCAAAAGACAAACATCATAGGTTTTCCTTGATTTGTGGTAACTAATACACAGACAAAAAGTGTAATGTATATGCACAAAATTGACATTTTGAGATTTGATGATTGTTTACAGCTCTTTCCTATACTCTTGAGGAAAAGTGGCTTTTCTACTTACTATTTTGAATTGAATTATTTATTCAGTGGAGGGTTAAACTTAGTATTATAAACTGAAAGTTCATCATTGTAAAATTATAAGAAAAAAATAAGAAAGGAAGGAGGAGGGGTGGGGGCATAGGCAGGCAGGAGAGTATGATGGGAATATCGTTAGGCTCTTAAACCTGTATATGAAATACATGAAATTTGTTCACCTTACATAAATAAAAACTTTTTAAAAAGTTCATTTCTCCAAGTTGGTCAAGGTCTAAGTGAAAGAGACTGAAACTCACTTGGTTTCTGAAAATACCAGTTGAGTTTTCTTTTTTCCCTGTTAATGTGCTATTAATACCAAGAGAAAAGATTCACTGCAGTTCATGGATATCATTCTAAGAATATGATGATATTCTCGTCCCCTCCCAGCCTGTGGTTTTTTTGTCTCATTTACTTCAGAGAAATCCTTTGGGCACAGTTATATCTAATGCTTTTTCAGTTCTTGATAAATACTGAAATGATGCAAACTGAAGAATAATACGTAGCCATCTTTCCATGGACTTGCTGCTTGTTGCAAGGGAAATGCTAAAAGTAGGAGTTACAAATTAAGACTTGAACTATTTGAAAGGAAACCATGTGTGGTTACAGAATATACTTGGCCATTTGTTCTCTACTGAGTAGGGCCGTCTTTAAATGGGTTAAGGGCCAGAGAGAACATAGATGGATGTTGCCACGCTTGGCCATCACATCTTCCTGTCATGTTCCTCTGTGTCGTCTCCAGGGAGTAGTGTATGCTTAGCCCTGAACACATTTGGGCAGTCACACTCAGTATTATAGAGAAGGTAAGAGATAGACAATGTCTGCCTAGGAGGCATCTATCTCTACTTCTCTTGAAAAGGGGGAAGAAATGGCACGGGTTGCCAACCAATTGACAGTTAAGGGCAGATACTGCCTAATTGACCCAACCCTACAGGATTTTCACAGGTTCTACCTCAGGCAAACTTTCTGCCCACGTTTCCCACTTCTCCTTCCTCACCAAGTCCTGTTTTCCTTCTGCTCTCTGGGTGTGCATACAGACTTATTGCAGTAATTTTATCATGCGAGAAGACATTAGCCAGACAGAAGGCAGATGAACCTGAGCATTGGAAGCAGGCATTTCTGCTGCTTGAGATAAACACACCTACCATCCCATAGACATATTACATTTAAATTATTCAACACGTTTTTACCCATGGAAGAAAACAAGTCTTCACTGATGTTTCAGACACGTTCACATGCATCCCTCTCTTTACCTTCTCCTTGGTATGGAGGTAGCTGTTCCATTCGGTCATAGCATTTGTACTGTGCATCCATCAGCTTCTTGCGTCCTATGACGTACAGAAATGGCTCAGGTTCAACTGTTGGATGGGTGTCATTTGAAGAGGCAGGGTTAACTGGTGTTGGTTGCTGTATTAAAAAGGAAAATCAGTCACTTACAGAGAAGAGGAATGCATGAGCATTAAATGAGACAATCAAAACATGGAAAACAATTTTTTTCCTTAAACAAGCAATATTTATTTATGTCTCCATGGAGAATGTCTTTTTGCTTCATAACCATAGATTATATTTACATTTCATCAACAAATTACACTTATAAATTTAGTATTTGTGTTAGTTTCCATTCACTGTTAAAAATACATAACACCCACACATACTCAAACAACTCTATCATCTACAGATGATTTGAATTTTATTATCCTTGTAAAGTTTAGAGTAAACAAAGAAAATCTAATTTCCAAAAAAAAAAAAATTACCAATATTACATTAACTTTGTCTTGTTTGGAACTCTAAAGAATCATAGGTCAAGTTATTAAACATAGATAAAACATAGTAAATATGCTTTTTCTTTTATTTTTTTCAGCTAAAATTTATTTGTGTCTGGATTGTGTACACTGCCAGAAGACACAAAATGTGTTTTCTGCCTCTGATAGTCGATTTTAATCTCTTTAAATTGGTTTTGTGAGCACTTGTAGCCTTTTCGCTACAGATTGACATTAGTTCTTTGAGTTTCAGTTAATCATCATCACCATTACTGAGCTCTATCAGAGTAGATGTGTGTGTGTGAAAAAAACCACTGTCTGACATACTGTCCTTTCTAATCCATATTTATATAGATTTATAATTTCTTTTGTGGCTGTGACTGATGTTCTTAGTGATGCCCATAAATCTGTGATATTTTGAAGTCACGTTGTGTACAGAGATTTTTTGGGGGATAAAAAACCTTCCAACCTCAGCCTTCTCTAGTTTTCCTTCTGATATAGGAATATTGCTTGCTCTCTACTATACCCATTGAAATACACACTAATTTGGCCTCAATCTATCAAAATCGTTCCGAGATTGATGTTTTCCCAAGTGTACTTCTGGCAGTAATAATGTTATGTTCTTTTGTATGTTACCCACTGTATCTAACACAAAAATCATGCTAAATTGACCTGTCTACCCAGGCTAATCCTGGTGGAGTCTCGGTGTTTTCCGGTGTACCTCACTGTGTATGTTCAATGTAACAGCATATCACTAATTGCTACATGATATAGTACACAAAACAATCACAATTCAGAGTTGGGAGAGAGGATGGAGCAAAGAGAGCCAGGATGGGCTACAGAGTCAATGCAGAATCTGGACGGGACCTTGGGTACAGGTGGTGTCTAAGTCGGCAGAGAGGAGAAGGAAGACTTTCATGAGGGGAGGAATAGAATGCACAGAAGTCCAGAGACTGGAACTGGCACCTATGAGACTGGTAGGGAACTACCTTGTAGAGTAACCATATGGAATAAACGGGGTCAGGGAGGGCTGGATGATGCAGAGCCTTGAATGCTTGAAAGAAAGGAAGAAAGGTAAGGGAGGCCGGCGCCACGGCTCACTAGGCTAATCCTCCGACTGTGGCGCCAGCACACCGGGTTCTAGTCCCGGTCGGGGCGCTGGATTCTGTCCCGGTTGCCCCTCTTCCAGGCCAGCTCTCTGCTGTGGCCAGGGAGTGCAGTGGAAGATGGCCCAAGTGCTTGGGCCCTGCACCCCTGGGAGACCAGGATAAGTACCTGGCTCCTGCCATCGGATCAGCGCGGTGCGCCAGCCGCAGAGGCCATTGGAGGGTGAACCAATGGCAAAGGAAGATCTTTCTCTACTTCTCTCACTGTCCACTCTGCCTGTCAAACAAACAAACAAACAAAAACAAAAAAGGAAGGGAAAGGGCAAGGGAGGGAAAGAATTAAAACTCCTTTTGTCACTTTGAACAGGCTAGATAACTTTCTAGCCCGCAATTCCTCATTTGTTAAATGAGAATAGCAATATTAATATTTATCCTTTATGGATGACATAAGGATAAAAAAAAAAAACAAGAAAACAAAGTGCCTGAGACATGAATGGCTCAGCACCTTTCAGTTAATAATGAAAAGTGATATTAAAATAAATATGCTTTCCAGATTTTTGATTAGTGAAGGTTGTGAAAGGAGAATTTTAGAAAAATTCAGGCGGGAGCCATCAGAGGTCCACAGGTGAAAATCGGGGAGGACAGCCAAGAAGTTGACACCTGGATTAGATCATCCTACACAGGAATAAATAATAAAAACAAGGTGGTGTATTTAAAACACAGAGAATAGTAACAGTCAAAAAGTCCAGATATTTAATTTATGTAATTGGGAAAAGTTTGGTAGTGCCCTGGGAAAGGGGAAATGCTGGGGAAGGCAAACCTAATTGGGATGGAGAAGGCAAGTTCTGTTTTGGAGAGGCCAGCAAACCATCTCAGCAGAGATGACTAACAAAGGAGAGCAGTGCTTACTACCCTTAGACTACTATTGTTGTAACTAAATGTCACAACTTTAAATGTGTACAGTAGTTCTGATAGTCATGCCTTGTGAATGTTATAGCAGGAAAGGAAGGAGGGAGGTGGGGAAAGAGAGAGAGGAGGGAGGGGAGAGAGAGAGAGAGGGAGAGAGAGAGAAAGAGAGAAAGAGAGAAAGAGAGAGAGAGAGAGAGAGAGAGAGAGAGAAATGAATCCACACAAATGACTTCAAAATATGAAAATCCTTGAGCAGTGTAGCTGAAGACAACTCTGTTGCCACTTTGCTCTTTTGCCCACCAGCTTTCAGACCCATTGGCTGGCAATATGATGATCCAAACATTGTGTTAGATGCAGAAGACACAGTCCTGTGTTCACAGAGCTTACACCCTAGCAAGCAGAGCACTAGTTCCCTGACAATAGCAATTGTGAACAACAAAGAATCATTGTCAGCCATAAAATTCTCAGATATTCAGTTAGGAATTGGAACATGGGGAGATTACTGATGCCATAGACAGGAGTGTCAATTGGTAAAGTCAACAACAGGAGTCACTGTGCACTTACTCCTCATGTAGGATCTCTGTCCTTAATGTGCTGTGCATTGAGATTTAATGCTATAACGAGTACTCAAACAATATATTTCACTTTGTGTTTCTATGGGGGTGCAAACTGTTGAAATCTTTACTTAATGTATACTAAACTGATCCTCTGTAAAAAAAAAAAAAAAAGAAATTATCAACTCCCAACTTGACTCTCACTGGGATTAAACATGACAATAGGTCTGATCTGATTTCATCATCATTTAAAAAAAATCATCTATTATTTTTCACTTTATGTTTCTGTGTGGGAGCAAACTGTTGAAATCCTTACTTAATGTATACTAAGCTGATCTTCTGCATATTAAGATAATCGAAAATGAATCTTGATGTGAATGGAAGGGGAGAGGGAGTGGGAAAGGGGAGGGTTGTGGGTGGGAGGGACGGTATGGGGGGGAAGCCATTGTAATCCATAAATCGTACTTTGGAAATTTATATTCATTAAATAAAAGTTAAAAAAAAAAGAATAAGAAAAAAAAAGAAATTGAAAGAAAAGTATTTTGAAGAGATTCTATGTTAAGGCCTCTTTTTGTGTTTAATTAGCTGATATTTGTATAAATGTATATGTGTTTGTGTTTCAAAATTCAACTAAATATCTTAAAATGTCAAAGTAGGGAAAGATCCTGATGCTCTCACAATAGAGATAATAATAGTTGGTTTAGTGTATGCATACACTTTAGATTCTTCTTTTGTAGCTGTATTCTTAGAATCTGCAGTTGATATGAGAATTATCAATTGACAAATGTTTAATTTCTGGGCCATATTCCTACCATCTTCAAATTAAATTAGAATATTGTATCTCTATTGTATAATAACACATATAAACCATCTCTGCCACTTGTACTATGTAATTTAGACATTAGGGACTACTTTGCACAGGTTGGCTTTCTTTACAAAAGTATCATTATGAATTTTATCTTTACATGGCTGACAACTAATTAAGAACTGTTCCTGGAATTTCACAGAAGCCATTGGGAAATAGTACATGCATGGACAGCAAGCGAAAAACTCTACACTTGGGTTTTCAATCACATCTTTATTTGGTTATTGCAGTTTTAACATCAGTCACAGTGGAGGTATGGTCATCTGGGTAAGAGTAGGAACAGTTCAAGCCGATGACAGTAGCTTCAATCTTATCATTCTTGCAATATTGAAACAAACTCCAGTGAACTTGGTTGAAAGCCTAATTCAATAGAGGATGTTTCAACACTGAAAGAATGGGAAATCAGAACCTCTGCTGTTAGGAGAGCCACAGCCAGCTGAGCCCGCTTCTGGTCTTGACCACGTTTGAGCACTGAGGATGGAATTTAACCAGTGGCAGCTGAATGTCTCCGTGACGTTCTTCCTAAAATAATGTACACATTGGAGCATCCTTTTTATAGATAAATAGATAACATAAATATATACATAAATACATACAACTTCAATTATAGAAATAGTGCTTAAAATAATATACAAGCTTCATAGAATTCATAAACACATTAAACATTTTGCTGACAATTTCACGCAACAAAAAATGCTAGTTAAGTGGTATTGGTTTCATCAATGAAGAGGCAAAATAAAACCATTAGTGATTATATATTAAAAAAACACTACCAAGCAATGTAAAAGACATACATATTCTACTTACCAAGTGGAATACTGTATATGAGTCTATACTGTTTATTTGAGGATTTAACTAAGTATATGATTCTGTGCTCAAAGATAGAAATGAGACATTGGGGGCATATTGCTTGCATGAGTAAAGATGAGTTCAGTGTTTCACATGCAAACCATCTATGTGATTCTTCTACACTTACTCGTTGTCCCTTGTAGCAGTTTAGCCACCGTATATGTGATGTCACCCCTAAAGGTTCAAGTGAATGGCACCACACATACGACCACCAAGCTGCCACCAACAGGTAGTCAAGCAGCACAAACATCACACTGGTTCTTTTGCACAACATATACTTTAAGTGCCTTCCACATGCCAGGCACTGTTCTTTCTGGAAATTCAACAGTGAACAAGACTGACAAGGTCCCTGCTCTCATGGAGCTTACAGACTAGACAGCTTCATCTGCATTAATCATGCACTCCCCAGGAAAACAACTGGATTTCAAATTACCATGTGCTTTGGAAATTCCTTACTTAGTAAGCCCGTAAGTCTGCTTTTGGGTTACAGGTGGTTTCTAGAGGTACAAAGAACAGTTACAGAATGGTCCTTTTGGAACTTTGACAAATGGCCAACCTCTTCTTAGGTTCAAGCCCACTGACTGTGCAGTTCAGACCTATGCAAATGTGCTATAGACCGCTCTAAAAGAATGAGAATCCAGAATCCACAAGTGGATGTAACCAACAGGATTCCTATGTCACTATCCTTAATACAGTCATGATAATACCGCTTAGAATTACTTGTGGAGTCCATGTACTTCTACTTTTCCAAATACCACAGGGATAAAATGTAACTTTGTAAAATATTAGCCCTGGATCTTGCTGTAGGTTCAGATGCCTGGTTGGTGCCCTGTGTACATCCTGGGGGAAGACAGCTAAGGAAACAAGCAATACCACCAAAACTGTCATCATCACGAGCATGTTTTGGTGCTCTCTGTGCCCAACCACTGCTCTGAGCCTGTTGTATTACCTCTGAGAAGGGACAGGAGGAGAGTAATTTGGGATAATGGAGAAGACTAATGAGAGGTGATGGCTGAAACTGATCGTCACAGGCCACCTGGACATCAAATCAATAGAATTTAATAAATATACTGTTTTTTACAATAATGTGTTGTCTAAAAATCATATTTGAAATTATAAGAACATTGTCATTTTTAAAATTTGCCTTTGATGAGCATCACTGCAGAACATTTCCAATTGTTTGAAGGAAATTGGTGTGTTAAATTCTGTCTTATGATCAAGTTCTCTAAATTAAATATGTTATTCAAATAAAGCCAGAGAGGCAAATTTCTCTCTGTCACAGCAAATGCAGCACATAGGCATTTAAGTGCCCTGTGTAGTTAAGCTAGCTGCTACGGGCTGTCCACAAACCAAAAAAAACAAACCAACCAAAAAAAACATTCTGTTCATGGCCCATGGAAATCTATGAACTTTGTCAGTATTTGAATTATTATTATATATTATATACTAAGTGAAAACTTTGACTGTAAATGACTTTAGTTTTTTAATATACCAACAATTAACTATAGTCTTCATAGTAAAAAAAGATGATTAGACAATCCTGTTTTGTTATTATTTAGTGGTTTCTTTAGCTTTTCTTCTATCAAGTCCAATATAATTATTTGCTTTATTAAACAGTGATTCATAAATATTCATATGTACTCTAACATTTAATTTTATTTGAATTATGAGAAATAACAATATAAATTTATGAATAATGCATGTCAATATTTCTACATCTGTAGTATAGAAGACTTTGGCATTTATTGAGAAATTAAAATATTCTACTAGTTTACATAATTTTCTTGTTTAAGTATTTTTATTATATTTCAAGTGGCATAAAGTAACCCACATTTCTAAATACCAGATTAGTTTTAGAAAATTATACTGTAATTTATCTAAAGAAAAACGTAAGTTAAAATATGATAGTCTGAGATAATAAAATGAAACGATGCCTTTATCTATATAGGTGTAAAAGGGTCACATTAACAATCATTCCCATAAGCCACTTATGTGATTATCACATTACAAAATAAAAATTCCCTTACAAATTAAATTAACATTTGTGGAACAGCAGTGAGGTTTTTTCTTGAATAATGTAAAGAGAAACAGTTTAGGTGGAACCCTAAGCCTATCCCTACACATGAATGAGTAACGGAAATCCTAGAACCCTATGTAAGCTTTGCTTGGGTCAGTTTCACAATACAAGATACTGAGTGGTCTTCACTGTCAGCTGTAATTCATTGGCAAATGTTACTTTGAAGTGATCAAAAGGATGAGGATCAAGATAACTACAAACTGAGTCAAGTAAAATTTACTCATCTCCCTTTCACATATTTTTGAATTTGATGTGATGAGGGTGGGTTAACAATGTTGACATAAATAAACAGGCATTTAATAGTGTTTTCTCAAATAATTATACTTGTAACTAGTTAAATCCTTTAGGAATAAAATATAAATTACATTAGTTGAACACTATTTTAAAGGCTGGAGAAAGGGTTCTGGAATGATAGTGGAATATAAAGATAGAGAAATACATTTGAAATAGGTAATAAGACTGAGTACAGATTTTGAAAAGTCCTCCAGAAACTATGATTCAAATCCAAGTCAAACACACAAAAAAAACAAAAAACATTTTATCCAAGAACATCATTAACCATCTATGTTAACTTCCATAACAATATGAGGATTGCTCAGATCAATGCTAAATTTCCGTAAACAAACAAGGTTCAAATTTCTGGGTAAACCATAACATGTATTTAAATTAGTGAAAGTGTAGAGGGGAGATTTGTTAATAAAATAGTAAGGAAAACTATAGTTTTGAGGAAATTAGCTTTGGCTTACGGAGAACAATGCGTTCCCAGCAAATGTTCAACCACACCCCAATCATCCTTCCTTACTCAGCATTCATAATTAATGTGACTTAGAATAATTTTGTCTTACTTACATGTAGAAGGAGGAACAGCGCAAAGCACCGCCACGTAAGAGTGAACTTCATTTTTGGTTTCTGAAGATCTCTCTTCATCCTAGAAAGATATAAAAGTAACAAAGATTTAAATTAATGTAGCTCTAATCTCAACTGTGGCTTGTTCTCTCCTTTCTATTTGGCTTGAATAAGATTAATGTCCCCAGACACCCTACATGAAATGCATGTAAGTAAGATTCATGCACTTGTAATGCCCATGCAGTCACAGGTTCCTTTGTCCTTCTTGCCAATAAGACTTGTTCATAAGACTCTCCTTTTAAGAAATTCTGGAGCTACCCTTGTCCATCGAAAGGGAAATACAGGAATTCTAAGGATTCAAGAACAATCCATGTTGACTTCAATGAGCATGCATTATCAACAGAACTTCTGATATTGGCAATGGTGACATCTAAAAAGTCACCTCACTGGATATGAACAAATGCAATTTGTGGTTTGAGAAGGATTAACAGCTCAGCCCAGCATGCCATTTAAGCAGCAGGCATTTGGCTTAGTGGTGAAAATGTCAATTAAGATGCCCAAATCTCATATCAGAGTACCCAGGTTTGGTGCTGGACTCTAGCTCCTGACTCCATGTTCCTGCTAAATCAGACACTAGAAGGTGGTAGTGATGGCTCAAGTAATTGGTCCATGCTACTCACGTGGAAGAATTGAACTGAGTTCCTAGTCCCTGACTTAAGCCTCGGCCCAACCCTGGTTGATGCAGACATTTGGAGCTGAAATAGTGGATAGAAGCTCTGTCTTACCCTGTCTCTCTCTGACTCTCAAATGAATGAATGAATAAGGTAATTAACTAATCAGTGTCAACTGTAAAAGTAGTCTTATTTAGAGCTTTGAGTATTGTCTTTCCAATAACTATTTCTTGAAGGTTCAAGTTGCTGTTACAAAAAAAAATTTCTTTAGCAAGGATTGAGTATGTCCCCCAACTACTCACCATTCCTACTCAAGAACACAACAGAACAGTATGCTTTGCCACAAGTATCAGTTTGTCATTACTCTGCAAATAATGTTATACAGGGTGACAATTTAACCTATACTTCTTTTTGTTAGTAGGATTGGTGTGAAACCATATTTCAACTATGGATTTGTGGTTATGACTGTATGGTAGGTCACATAGCTGCTTCTTGCACTATTCATTCACAGATTCTATATATTCAGCTAGGGATCTACAATGTGTACCCAATATACTTGCCCTCTAAAAAGCAAATTATATTTCATCTATTTATCAGTATGGTGGAAATGGTGTCATCTTATGTGCTGATCATTATTCATTGTTTCTGATTCACTTCCGGTCTACACAGTAAATTAAAAACACATACACCTAAAACATGCTAAGGTGCATTGGGACGTACATATGGGTGAGCTGGGTGGCAAGCAACTGAGCACATGTTGGGTAGACAGGGTAGGGATGAATGATACAAGATGTGGTAAAACAGACTGGGTAAGAAGTTAAAGAAAATTACATAAATAAGAAGCTTCTTTAGAGAAGCCAGATAATTTCACCTGGGGGTGGGGTAGGGAAGTAGGGCAGATTTACAACTTGAGATGCAATTTGAAACTTCATTAGTATTTTTGCAAAATGAAGACATAGTAGGCAAAGCCAACAGATAATAACAACATATGGATATTAGAAACTTTAGGGTCACTAAAGCATAATGAATACAATGGTTTGATTTAGCTGGAGTATGGAGCCTCTCAGAATGTGGAAATAAAGTTAGAAAAGCAGATGTTGTGTGCTTAGGAAGTTTGCTACCCAAGCCACTCTTTGAGCACTTTGTGTGCACACATGTTTAGTCATCCTTACATACACATATTCTCACAACCTTGCTTGATGTTAAATCCCTTTTAGATGCTAATGATCTATGTGTCTCTGGCATCTCACACGATTGATTACATCTGATTATTACTATATTGATAATGATGGTGATTTGTGAGCTAATAAATTAAGCAAAACTGAGAACTATGATGTTTATGATTGCATCCTTACCATACCACATTAGCAGACTGAATGTATCATTTTCCTTCTCCAGTTTCTTGCATTTCCCATAGCAGTGGCTTGTACAATTATTCATAAATTGTCTGAACGCAAAACTAGGAAACAACTTTCCTTGATTTCACCCACTTCTTCATTGCCACATCTGGTCTCCAGACTCTCTGACTGTGTCTTCATTTTGTTATCTTCTTGAGAATGTGCACGCCTCTCCACACCTGATCTCAGCCACAAGGCAGAGAAGCGACAGACACCTCTCCACCATGGTTCTTGTCCAGACCCAGCCAGGATCCTGCCTCCAGAACAGTTTCCCGGCTTCTGGTCTTGATCTACAACATATATATTTTTCCATACCAAATGAGTATAATTATGTCCTTCTTTAAAAATTCCCTACAATCTAAGTAAATGCACTAAAATACTTGGTTAGGAGAGTAATATAGTATCTTATATGTCATATATATATGTATATGCACTCTTATAATATCAAATGCTGATATGATTATGGAGAGAAACAAAGAGAGATTAAAACTATCTCCTGGGTCTCTAGCCTGGTAAAAGGATAGAGAGTAAAGAAATTCAGGAGCAGGAAATTGCTCTCTTGATTAGCAAAACAGGCTATAAGAAAAGGTGTATGTTGTAGACTTACTAGCTTTATTACATTGGAATAGGATTGATAGACTTTGTCATAGTTGTCTAGCTTCCTGAAACTGTTGAAGATATGATTGATTTAAATGCGTGTTTCCCTCCCCCACAAATTTAGATGTCTGAAAAGCATTCTCTTTTACACCGGAGACTGAGTGGCACTACAGTGGCAGACAAAAATGTTGACATTTTTAAGCCAAATTTTAAAATACTTACACAGTATTCAATTCCACACATACGCAAAACTATTCTATAACTACCAGTAGGAATTTTAAATGGTAGGATTAAGATAGAGTCCTACCAACCATAATATATTGTGTCCTTATACAAACGTTGCTGAAAGAATCTTGGCACAGCTGATTTCATCAGATGATGAAGCTGGAAGTTATCATAGAATTTAAATATCCCAAGCTTCTCATGTCTGGAGCTAATGAGAATGGACTGAAATGATTTCTGTCACTTCTGTGGGAAAGTTAATGGAAGAGCTCTGGTCAAACCTCTATCCGAGATTTCAATTGACTGCATGTTCTAAATTATTACCTTGCTTCCCATCAAAGGCTTTTCCCAGCTGGCTTCAACATTCTGCAGTGAAGACCCTGAAGTCTGGTTTACAGGGATACATGTGGCCATGAGCACAGTTCATTTTCTGGCCCACTCTGATTTTCCTTAAAATCACCTTTAGGAATTTAGTTTTGTTCTAATGTCAAGGATATCTTAGGATAGAAGGAACTTAAACTTGAGTTGCATTGTTAAATAAAGGGGGCCTGTGGGACATTAAAATATTTAATGACCATTGCTACTGAAACATCCAGTAAGCACACATCTGCTGTCATTGTTTACGTTCCGTTTCTCCCCCACAACCTTGTTATCCATGTGTATCTATGTTTCTTACTTGTGTTTGCAGTCACAGAGGAGGGATGGAATGAGGCAGGGGTCACTTACTGTATTTATATATTCACTCATCAAAAATCTACTGAGTCAGATTCATTACTTAGTCTTAGGAAGTCTTTTTGCATTGCAGTGAATGCACAAGGGGGGGGCTACCCTTATCACCCCCTTAACATACACGTCTCCTAATCCTCTCACCACTTGTGGGATTCCAAAGATATTTCATTGTGAACCTCTGAAGGGACAAGCTTGCTCCTGCATTTCCCATTCGGAACACACATCTACTAATAGAGAAAAAGCACCACCAAATGTAACTTAATCAAACTAAACTTTGCTTTTCTTCCTATTAAATAATCCATTTCCCTGAACTTTGGATGATTTGGAAATGATCCTTTTTTTGCTGGGCTGTGCAAGCAATTCAAAAGGTTCTGCAAAATTAGCTGGATTTCCCTGAAAAACAGAGAGATTAAGTGGGATTAATGACATCAGTGATGGCCAGCAGAGTTGGATCTCTGAACATCAGCTGTGATGCAAATAGTTTTCATCATAGCAGTTGCTTCCCACCATCACCCAAAGAGAATAGTCAAGCTCTGACCTGAAGGTCTGTTACCTAAAATGCTGGTGTCAAAGTCAATTTCACTGTGTCAACTTAGCTCGTCAGGTGAAATAAGCATCCGTTTTATTAATAAGGAATTGGCATATGATGCAGCTTGCCAATTAACTTTCAAAAAATGAGTTTTTAAGAAGTTAGAGTGCATACACCAGGAGTTAGCCAACAACAAGCTTAATTAGGAATACCAAATAAGTAATCTTAATTGATGTGATTTAGTTTGGGGATGAAGATGGGATAAGAATGGAGAAGCATACACTGCCAAAGTTGTTATTTCAGGATGTGTCTTGGGGCATTGAGGTCCCTCAGGTCCTTGGGCAATTCCCATTCATATTTTCCTGCGATCTGACTACATTCCCAGGAGGTTTTGTGTCCCCATGCCTCCCTCTGGTGGTGGTATGGCTTCAGTGAGAGGAGCCAGAGCAAGCAGCGCAGAAGAGCTGGAACTACGCAGAGTTGATGAAGTGAAGTAGAACGCCAGGGTGACCAAGAAGGAACCTGAACAGGAGCTGCAGCTCTCTTCTAAAGCAACCCCGACTAACAACAGCTTCTCCAAGGACACGCTGGGTTAACATAAGCTCACTGCTCCTCCACTGTTGCTCATGGCAGCAGTGATAACGAGGAGGATTCCCTGGGACTTTAACTCTGAGGGCAGGCATATGACAGGCAACAGAACTCTTCCCTTTTGCTCTGTTCTCAGCCCAGGGAAATTCCAATGTTCTTTGCAAAGATGTATGGGGAATCCAGTGCTTATAAAGAAAAGTCACCTGTTTTCCTGGTTAATTAATACAGAAGACTATATGGTAATCTATAGCCAAATTAAACTATATTAAAGTGAATTCCTGGGGCTGGCACTGTGGCGTAGCAGGTAAAACCACTGCCTGCACTGCTGGCATCCCATGTGGGTGCCAGT